ACTCTGAACTCTTAGTTACTCTTGAAATCGCATATTTAATTAGTTTCCCTTGACAGTGGCGCCAAGATGTTGCCGAAACATCGGATTTGTCTATCGTTAGTTTTTGCCTGTATATGTTTATCTAAATCATTGTTGATTAAGATTTCATCAGTTGACGGTATTTGGTTCAATGTCCCACCAATGCGATCACACTTCATATCGCACAACTTCTTTACTACTGCGAGAAAGCTAATTTATGCAGCTTGCTCGGTTCAAGCAGGCAGATTTCTTATTGGTTGAAATTGACAATGCCAAGTCCATGAGTCCAGCCGTGAGTTCAAGGGAGGAGCACGGGCTCCTTTCCCCAACAGCGGCTGGTAATCGAGCCTAAGTCTGATAGTGTTACATTTAAAACCTTACGTAAGTCAGTAGTAGTTTTCAAGGCATCTTTTTTGGACAGTTGTCAGACTTCTGATTTTTCTGTATGATACTCGCTTTGTATTGACCAAATTGTGGCCATTTGGCTTACAAAAAAAAATGATTCTTCAGTTCATTGGGTGTAGTCATGGTAGTAGTTGTTGATGCACAATGCACCTTGTCTTATAATTAATAGCCCTTTCACTAATGTCCCACCCAAAAGTGACCTGTTTTGACATCATTTCCAAGTTAATTTGGTACACTAGTTTGAATAACAAGGAGGGTTTGCTCTTGTTTTGCAAGGTATATATACTTGTAGTTTCGGGTACGTTTGTACATGTAGGGACAAAATTCCTAATTTTCATACCACAGATGTAATGTATTCTTATAACATTTGCATGACCAAGCATATAAAGAGTTAGTGAGCGCTTCTCAAAAAAAAGCTTCAGTTGACTATCTCCAGCACAGTTAATTTATCAATAAGTACTACTACCAGTATATAAAGAATAGAGGTATAAACAGGGCTCACTGCTGGTGAATTAGAAGGCTTAATGATTTTTTTGTTTTTAACAGATTGCATGTATTTTGAGTTGTAAACTGTAGTTTTGCAACTGGCTGATCTATTTTTGCTAACACACTTGGTAAAGGTAAAGTCTGCATACAAGCCAAGTGGCCCATCAGGCCGGAGCTTATCCCGGTTTCTGTAGCATGAAGCGACTAGGAGTATTTCTACTCCCCCCTGGATGGGATGCTAGTCCATTGCAGGGTTACCCCCATCATTAAGTTTGCCGGTACCCATTTATACACCTGGGTGGAGAGAGGCACTGTGAGAGTGAAGTGTCTTGCCCAAGAGCACAACACAATGTCCCTGGCCAGGGCTCAAACCCTGACCACTCGATCTGGAGACGAGTGCACTAACCATGAGGCCACCGCACCTCCCTGCTAACACACTGGGGTGTTAACAAAATTGAGCTGACAGTTTTAATATAGCCAGGCAGCAGGCTTCATACATTGTTGACGCTGCCAAAAAAATCACAAAGTGAATTTCTTCCTGAAAATTCATAATTAAGTAATAGTTTCTTACCAATCTTACCAGAAACCTATAACCCTGAAGTGCTTACTTGAGTCTGTTTTTGTCTTGCCAAAAAAGGAAAAACCCAAACTGGGATATTTTAGGTTATGTTTCAGAGATGGGCAAAAACATGATCATCAAGTTCTAGTTATGATTAAGTTTTGTACACTGTCTCCTTTTTTTTTTTTTTCATTAGGATACTGTTTTTCTGGCATGAAGAACATGCTTGTTTACAGCTTCACCCAGACACTATCTGTCAGTTGATAGAAATGTGAAGCTTTCAGTCAAATTTTAAAATAGTCAACTCAAGCCAAAATATTACTTTTTTGGCCTTTGCACGGTTTTGCCATGGTTTTTTGGACTGAGTGCTCCAGCTTTAAGCCAGGGGACTATCACAAAGTGTTTTTAGTAGGTGGATTTTTTGCCGGAGTAGATGGTGGTTTTTTCCATCTCGTTCTAAACAATCAGACAAATATCCTAGCCAAGTAGCCGCCAGCCAAGATTATGAAGTAGGTGGCGATTTTAACCAGCAGAATACTTTTGACAATCCTGTTTAAGAGTGCATTGTGTTGTTAGGTTCTAAAGGTACTTCACTCTCACACAGTCTCGCTCCACTTGGAGTATAAATGAACACAAATGCTGGCAAACCTTAATAATAACAACCAGGCATTAATTTACACTGAAATTCGTGACTGGAATCCATCTAGGGAGGGAAATAAATTTAGTTATACTCCCAGTCACTTCATTTTTAAGCATGGCTTATATAGACGCAAATGGGTCTATAGTTGTAGATGAGCGTGGAATGCTCTCATTATCAGCATTTAAGAGCGAATTTTTCTAATTAGCAAACATAGTGCAGCAGAAGTTGAAAAATCGATTTTTCTCTCTTTTCGTCCACAAATAGCCCTTGGGTAGATACGAAACGCGATATAGATTTTTGGAGCTCGAAGCGCTTTAAATTCGAGAAAATCGAGGATAACGATTTTCGCCTCAACGGTCACCAAAATGACCGATCGCAAAGGCTTAAAATTAGTAATCTGAATTGATTTGCGTTCGCATGTAAAGAAGAACCAACACTTATCGATACTTTTTCTTGAAAGACAAAGTATTCAGCTATCAAACCAGGTTAGAACTTGACTTGAGCGCCATTTGAGAATAAACACACAATTTTTAAAAAAATCCCTTTCAGTTACTAGGTCAAATTCCTTATTTACAAATAAAATTCAGAGATATTTTTCAACATGTGCCATAACTCCAAATTCCTTGAAACTTCACCTTTGGAGCACCTTTATGTTGTTGTAAAACATGTATTGAAATCAGCTTTTCGAGTGCTTTTTGAGGTCCGGCTGAAAAACCCCAATTTTACCTAAAAGATCACGAAAATTAAACAATGAACTTCTGTGCGTTGGTCGGAGGGCAAGCGGGTACAGGCATTCAAGTCCTTATATTATGAGTTCTTTGTGGTAATAAGCAAATTGTTTGCTTGCGCCTGTAATATAATGGTAAAACAGTTCAATCTCAATGCCAATGTGACTTTATTTAATCCGAGTATGTTTTGTCGCTTCGAATGCCAGATATTTGTGATGAGATGTCGATTTCACACCGAGGTGAAACAGGGAGTTAAAAACGTTTTACTACGCGGCCTTGCAATAATTAATTTAAGATAACTAGTCGCTAAAGGAGATATTTACTGAATTAAAGCTGAAAAGAGTTGCATTTTCTCTAACCTATCAAGTTTGTTCACAAAAAGCTATTTCAGAGTCATTTCAGGACTGGCAATACAGGTTAAATTTGATAAAGAAATCTTCAGTTTCATTGTTTATTTTGATTGCAAGTTATGGTTTCATTCCCAGCCGTGGAATTTACTATATATGTCCCACAGAGTGCATTGTTTTACAAAAAGGCGGCCATTTATTTCCGAAGTAAAACATGTTTCCAATAGTCTTTTGTACTTTTTTCAATGTATAGTTAAGTTAACATTGGTATCTACAAACAAATCGAAGTATGAATTCCAATGAAAAGTTCAGTCAGAAATAATTTTCCCGCCAAAGCGAAGTGTTTTTTACTAATGTTTTCACTTTTTTTCGACTTTCTACGATTGGCAATCCATGACTCACTAAAAGACCCGCTTGCAGTAGTTAGCTGGACTGCAGGATAGAATATTTAAGCATGCCAAATCCATTTAGGCTAATTAATTTTATCCAGTATGAGTTCAATTTTCCCAAGAGAATTCTATTTTAGACGTCAAGCTGCATATAAAAACGATATGTATCTTCAGTTCTCTTATTCTTTTTTTGCTTTCTATTTTTTTTTTTGCTTTTTTGTTTTTTGCCGTTGTGTAAAACATACTGCAACCATATGATGATCGAAGCTCTACCCTAAATTAATTTTGAGACTTTTGCTAACACTTCGTTCGCTTTCGGAACACGTG